AATACAACAGAAAGTTCATAGAGCTATTACTGGGCAATACTTAGAAACTGAGGAAAAACCCAGACAAGTTGAAATGAATGAAATAGCCTGCTCAACCATATATTTAAACTTGTCTGACTCTGTCCTTAGAAAGGTTGGAGTCATTGAGTCTGCTAAAGACCTCTGGGATAAACTTGAGTCTCTATATACTGATACTTCCCTTCCTGGCAAACTGTTTTTGTTGGAAAAGTTTTTTAGGTTTAGGCTTGACCTATCAAAAGATATTGATGAAAACCTAGATGTTTTTAACAAACTAATCCAAAACATTAAGCAGGCTGGGGAGAAACATATAGATGACTACACTGCCATAGTCTTATTGAATGCTATACGTGATTCCTATAATGATGTTAAGTCTGCCATTAAATATGGGAGGGATGACATAACCCTTGATATTGTTATTAATGGTCTGAGAAGTAAAGAACTTGACTTAAAACATTCTAGGAACCATCATAAGGAATCTGGGGAAGCTTTGTTTGTTAGGGGAAGGTCTAAAAGCAGGTCTAAAAACCCTAAAAAGGACAACCAGGATAAGAATGGTAGACAACCTAGCAAGAAAAGGCATAAGTCTAGGAAAAGGGTGTGCTATAATTGTGGGAACCCAGATCATTTCATAAAGGACTGTACCCAACCCAAAAGAAATGAACAGGCCAACTCTGTGACTGATAAGGAAATTAGTGAAGAAGTGTTCATGATCTGTGATCATGCTAATTCTGCCCTAAGCAACCTTACTGAATTTGAATGGCTAATAGATTCAGGTTGTACCTACCACATGACTCCTTTTAAAAATCTGTTTGCTTCTTATAGTGCTTGTGATTCTGGTTATGTGTCCCTAGCTGACAATAAGAAGTGTAAGGTCCATGGTGTGGGTGACATAAGTCTTAAGTTTGAAAATGGAACTGTTTTCAAATTAAAAAATGTTAGACATGTCCCTGATCTTAGGCACAACCTGCTTTCTGTTTCTGTTTTTGAAGAATGTGGTCTTGAGGGTAAATGGGGAAATGGGTGTATGAAGATTTTGAAAAAATCCCTTGTTTTGTTTAAAGCCTTGAAACAAAATAACCTTTATGTTGTGCATGCCTAACCTTTTTCTGAAAATGCTAATGCTGTACTCAGTGACAAGTCTGTGCTTTGGCACCAAAGACTGGGTCACATGAGTAATAGAGGATTGAATATTTTGAAACAAACTGGATGTTTTGGTAATGACTTGGTGTCACCCATACCTTTCTGTGAGGGTTGTGTCCTAGGTAAACAACATAAGGTTCAGTTTCCTGTTTCTAGCTATTCTAGCGAGCCTAAGTCTAAAGCTGTCCTTGACTACATACATGCAGATGTATGGGATCCTTCCAGTGTCCCTACCCATGGGGGTAGGAGGTACTTTCTGTCCATAATTGATGACTTTTCTAGGAAAGTCTGGGTCTGTTTGTTAGAACATAAATCTGATGTGTATGTTAGGTTTAAAGAATGGAAAATTATGGTAGAAAATCAAATTGGATGTAAGGTTAAAACCCTTAGAACTGACAATGGCTTAGAATTCTGCAATAAGGATATGGATAGGTTGTGTGTTGAGAGTGGGATTAGGAGACACAAAACTGTGCCCTATACTCCCCAACAGAATGGCTTAGCTGAGAGAATGAATAGGACCCTCCTAGACAAAGTTAGGAGTATGCTTGCCACTTCTGGCCTCCCCAAGAAGTTTTGGGGAGAAGCTGTCAATACTGCCACCTACCTGATAAACAGACCCCCCTCTGTACCTTTAGAAGGTAAGTGCCCTGAGTCTGTCTTCTCTAAGAAACCCCTGGACTTGTCAAACTTAAAAGTGTTTGGGTGTGTTGCCTATGTACATCAACAGTCTGATAAGTTGGACCCTATGTCTAAGAAATGCATTTTCTTAGGATATCCTGAAGGCGTTAAAGGATATAGGATCTGGGATAGGAACCAGAGTGGTTTTAAGGTCATTATAAGCAGAAATGTTGTGTTCAATGAAAGTGACTTTCCCTGCTTAGTTCAAAATGTGACTGACCCTCAAACTGTGCATGATGGCACCTCTCCTAGTGAGGTGGAGCCTATCCAGACCACTGCTGCCCCTCTGGTGAATGAGTCCAGTACTCCTGATTTGACCAACACTATGCATGACACCCACTCCACCTCTAGTGAGGTGGAGCAGCCCAGTGGTAATGATGAAAATTTGCATGATGTGATTGTTCAATCTGATTTTGCTGATAATGAAGAACTTGGAGAGATCCAAGTTGAGAATGAGAGTCTAGATGATTATGTGTTAGCCAGAGATAGGACTAGAAGAAACATTAAGAGGATTTCTGATAGTATGACTGACTATGCATTTCACCTGTATGATACTTCATTATTTGCTTTCTCTGTTTTTGAAACTCTTGAGTTGAATGAGCCTAAAACCTACCAGGAAGCCCTTGCCTCTAGAGAATCTAAAAATTGGCTATGTGCTATGCAAAGTGAGATAGATTCTCTTAAGTTGAATAAAACCTGGACCCTAGTTCCTAGGACTCCTAATTGTTCTGTTGTTGAGTGCAAATGGCTTTTCAAAGTTAAAGAAGAACCAAATGACATTAGGTTTAAAGCTAGGTTAGTGGCAAAATGTTTCACTCAAAAGGAAGGGGTAGACTATGCTGAAATTTTTGCTCCAGTAGTAAAATTCACAACAATTAGGATGATGTTTGCCCTAGTTGCCCATAATGACTGGGAGATGAAGCAGATGGATGTTACCACTGCTTTCCTGCATGGTGAACTAGATAAACAGATTTTCATGAGCCAACCTGAGGGTTTTATTGACCCTAAGTACCCCAAACATGTCTGTCTACTTAGGAAGGCCCTCTATGGCCTGAAACAGTCTCCCAGACAATGAAATATCAAGTTTGACCAGTGTATGTCTTCCCTGAGTTTCAAAAGGTCTGATAAAGGTCTGATTCTGACCCTTGTTTGTATTTTAAGAATACTGCCTCTGTACCTATTTTCTTGTTGATCTATGTTGATGACATGCTTATCATTAGCCCCTCTATGAATGCTATTAAGATAGTTCAAAAGTGCCTTTGTGAAAACTTTGCTATGAAAGATCTTGGAGATGCTAAGAGAATCCTAGGGATTAATATTCTTAGGGATAGGAGTAGGTGTACCCTTACCCTGAACCAAACCTCCTATCTTGAAAAGGTCTTGAAAAAGTTCAAAATTGACTGTGCCCAACCTGTGAATGTTCCCTTAGCACCCCATTGTGTGCTAAGCAAGGATCAGTCCCCAAGGACTGCTCCTGAGATAGATAGGATGAAGGATGTACCCTATTCCAGTGCTATAGGATCAGTCATGTATCTCATGGTAAGCACAAGGCCTGATATAGGTTATGATGTTAGTTGCTTAAGTAGATATATGGCAAACCCTGGTACGTCTCACTGGACTGCCCTTAAATGGCTCCTTAGATACCTAAGGGGTACACCTTCTCATGGTCTTGTGTTCTCTAAAACTGAAACTGGCATTTTACTTACTGGCTATGTTGACTCCAATTATGCAAATGATAGGGACAATAGAAAGTCTACTACCTCCTACATTTTTACTCTTTGTGGTTCCTGCATAAGTTGGAAATCTCAACTTCAACCTATTGTTGCACTGTCCACTACTGAATCTGAATACGTGGCAGCCACTGAGGCCTTTAAAGAGGCTATTTGGCTTAAACGAATGCTAACTGAAATTGGTTTTCTTAAGCAGGTTGTGACAGTGTACTCTGATAGCCAGTCTGCTATCCAATTGTGCAAGAATCCTGTATTCCATGACAGGACCAAGCACATTGATGTCAGGTTTCATTTTATTAGGAATATTGTGGATGCAGGTTGGATAAAGCTGTCCAAAATACCTTCAGAATTTAACCCTGCAGATATGGGGACTAAATGTCTCACTTTTGATAAACTGTTGTCTTGTAAGCGTATTCTTAATTTAGATTGTGGCTAGATAAGAACTGTAAAACAAGAAAAACCGGCGATGATGATTCTCCCTTTCACGTTGTGCTCTACACCACCAGGGGGACCAACAAGGTGGAGATTGTTGTGGTATTGGTCCACCTCATCTATGGGCCATCCCTGAACTGCCTTTTGGTCCACCTCATTTATGGAGTTGGTCTCCTAATTAATGTCCTGGCCCAATTGGGCTGTCTACCCGACCAAGCCCATCCGTCCCCCATTTGTCTTATACCCAGCCCATCCCGTGTGGCCCTCCCTTATATTTGGCTGGTTCTTCTGGAATCCTCCTATTTCTGCCTCTCCGCCTTCTCTCTAAACGATGACCTTTCAGTTCTGTTACCCTAGACCTAGAGTGAGAGAGTGCCGGTTTCCTCTGAGCTTTAGCTCCGACTTTGCTCCGGTGAGGCCTTGGGGTTCCTATTGGGGTCTTCACTCTAGTCTGGTAGTGTGGTGGGTTATCTGTAGCTCCGGTGGGTTCTCTGGGCTGGGGTCTGGGTTCTTTGTGTGAGGGCTAGTTGGCTGTCGCCCTTCTGTCTTCCCTGGTTGTATCCCTGGTGGTGAGTGTGAGTTAGCCTTTGGGCTTGATGGTGATTGAGGTCTGAGCCGGTCCGGTTTTCCAACATAAGAAATTATATGAAATCATAAAAGTCGAATTCATTATACGGACTACGGAGAATGAGATTACTTAGATACTAAAATGAAAAAAGATTTTCTTAATAACGTACTTAGTATAAAATCTTTAAATAGGGAGTCAAGGAATAATATAAAAAAAACTGACAAAAAGAAAACAGTCTGACATGATGTTAATTAATTAATTACTACTTTCTCTATCCCGTAATTAAGTTACCATTTTCCGTTTTGGACAGTCTCTAAATTAAGTTCAGACTTCCGTACTTTTCTTATTTGGAAAATTATCTATATCAAAACAGTGTCAAACAATGCAAAACAGTATCCAAAAAATGCAAAACGGAAAACAGTAAAATTTACCTCATTAAAGTCAAGCACTTAACTTAATTGAGGGACAAGAGTAGAGTACTACGTATTATAGTGGTAGAATTTGTTGTACGTGAGTTTCTTCTCCTTCTTCTTAGATCAATTGCCGTTGCCATTTCCATGGATTTCTCTAGTGGCCGCCCCCTTACTCTTCTTCTTCCACTCCTCCACGTTTTCAAGCCTGGCATACATTCTTCGAAGCCTGGCGAGCCGCTGTGACGCTTCATATATGATATCAGTCGTCGAGGAGCTCCGGCTGAGGAATATCCCATACCCATCCTGGAAATCCTCTGCACTTTCTGTCATAATTTGCCAGAACAAGCTGCCGGCCGCCGCACCTCCAGCCTGGGCGGATGAGTTTACGGCTGCGTAAGCGGTTTCCATCAGAATGTCCCTCTTTGCGACGGTGAAGCCGGAATCTTTGTCACTCTTCCCAAACTCGGCCAAGAGCAAAGGTTTGTTCAGAGTTTTCTGTGCGTCATCGATGTGGACTTCAATCCATTTTTTTAGAAATTCCACTTGTTCATCACTTGATCCATTCTCCAACCTCCACAACACAGGGGGCAGAGTTGAAAATGAGTGAGAATTAAATTAAGGGAAAATAGTTAAATAAATTAAGGGAAAATCACTTAAGGTCATATGCTCAAGTATCATATAAATATTTTACTTATAAAAAACAATCACGTGAATTCTAACGGCACGTTAACAACTTCCTAATCTCGATTCAGCTTACTTGTCGTTATTTTTACCTTGTATTTTAGCCGATTTTAACTAAATGTTTCACGTCAGCCTTATAATCTATCGGGAAAACTATCAAATAAGTCCACATACTTTTACAAAAAAAGTCAATTGAGTTTATGTACTATTTAATGAATCAATTAAGTTTGTCTAGTATTAGAAAATAATCAAAATGGCTATTTAGCCTGTAAACAACCGGTTCTCCGGTTGTGATGTCCAGTTGTTTTTTTTTTCAATTTTCTATTTTTTTATGTTTTTCTTTTTCTTTTCTTTTCATTTTTGTTTTTCTATTTCTTTTGCTTTTCTCTTTCCTTGTTTCATCACTCCATCTGCTTACCTCTCGATCTACCAGTCTATGGAGGCTGAGGCAGTAGAGTTCGATTGACTTGACGAGGCATAGTTAGAAGTCACAGAGGCGGCGGCGGCGGCGGCTATGGAAGCCAGAGCCGTTGGAGGTCGCTTCACTGGAAGAGGCGGAGGTGTAGGCCGCGGAGGTGGTATCCGGAGGCGGTGTGAACGGAGGTATGGGCGGCGGAGATGGCGGCTACGGAGGTCGGAGCGGCTGGAGGTTGCTTCAATGGAGGAGGTGAAGGTGGACGCCGCCGAGGTGGTGGCCGGAGGCGGTGTGTAGGAGGGGCGGCAGAAGTGAAGTGGAGGCCGGAGGCGGTGGCTATGGAAGCCTGGCGGCGGAGGTGGTGGCTTGAGAGATCAGGGTGATGGAGTTCGTTCCATTGGGAGGTGGCGAGCAAAAATGGAAGAAAGTGATTGGATGTGTGGGAGCCTACTCAACGGAAAGGAAGAAGAGAAGAAAGAAAGAAAACAGAAAAAGAAAGAGAGGAAAAAGCAGAAGGAAAAGAAAAGAAAAACAAAAAAAAAATTACTACGTGGAAAACAATAAAAAAGTGTCACATCGGACTTCCACATTTACCGGGTAACCGGTTGGCTACCTGCTAAATAGCAGATTTGTTCATTTTTAATAGTTTACGGACTTGATTGATTAGATAAAAAGTATGTAGACTTAATTGATTTTTGTTCAAAGTACGTGGACCTATTTGATTGTTTTCCCTAATCTATTTTAAAAATATAGTTAGGCGTACACTAAAACTAAGATTAGGAGGTTGACAACATGTCGTTAGGACTCATCCGATTACTTTTTATAAATAATTGTATTTTTAAGACATTTTAATTAGTACATGATCTTATGTGACGCTTTCATAATAATAGAATGCCTTATTTGATCCTTTTCCCTTAAATTAAAGTAAAAAGAATCTGAATTTTCAAATCAATGTGAAAATGAGTATATCATTTTCCTTCAAACAATAATATATTTTCAAATAGATTTTTGAACGACTAAAGGGGTGTTTGAAAGACCTCTCGATTCAGAAGGCCCAAAATTTTAAATATAGTTTACTTAATATACAAAATCCTTATTTATTTTATTTAAAGATTCCTATCTTAGTATTTTTTTTAAATACAAACATTAAATAGTACGTAGTAATTTTTATATGTAATTAAAATTCAATGGTTAATTACAATTGTGCACTTTCTTTATTACATAAGTTCTAGTTACGGTAATTAGCAACTCTATACTGCTCTCTCTATTTTCATTTACCGTACACCTCTATACTACCCTTACTAGTTTCTTCTTACAAACCACAAAAATCTAAGGAGACTTTGAACAAGGCCTAGTATATGTCAGGGTCCATCCTGTTTGGATCTACTTCTTAAATATGTTTCTACTCTTTTAGGGAGCAGAAACAAATATTGAGGTGTTTGGATGAAAGTGTAAAAGTACTTCTAGGTGCTCGAAAATGCTCCTGGGAAACAGTTTTTTTGAAGCTGGGAAACCATCTTCTGAAAAACTAATTATAATTATGTTTCCACTTTTCAAAAGTAAGCGAAAATAGAATCAATTTCAAACGCCCCTAAATAACTATAGATAACGTATTTAAAATTAGATTTTGTGCTGTCCAGAAAAGTCATTCAAATAAAAGAAATTAATAAATACCATGTGCTTGGATAAGCATGGATAGTGGCAAAATCGATAAGAGAGATTTGATTATTGGTAATGAAGTCGGTCCCCACTTCATAAAAAGGCACTCCCTCATTTTTGGTGGCATTTGATGGACCATAAAAGCCTTCGAGCCCAACTTCTAGCAGATGATTAGGATCAATATGTTTCAAGTAGGCAGCCATATCTGTGATCCAATTCTGGAAAAAAGAGACAAATTCAAATGGTCTATAAGAAACCAAGATTAGCTAAGATATTGGACTCCGTTTTACATGGATCACAAAAACAAGCTATTGTCCAATCTAATCTTGAGAGACATGTCCAATTGAAGAACGGATTAGGGAACTTGTAGCACAAACAAATATATAAATATACATGGTAGATCAAATATAAATCATTTATGCCATAATAACCGCAAATCGTTCGCTTTTTCTTCAATGTGATATGATGCACTATTAGATTTTCGTGTTACAATTGTCACATTAATATATTCTTTAGCGAATTCTACTGTATCCTCAAGGACTCAAGGTAACATATTTTGCCTGTGTAGATCGGTTAAAATATTGCAATTAAATAGTTTAAATATTAATAAATCATAAAATAATGATTCGGATCCATCAAATGTATTTTAGATACGGTATCCTCATTTATTTGTGAAGTACCGTAGCACTTAATTACCTATATATATTTATATATAGGCCCATTAATTTGTGTGCCTATCGATCTATGCACTGTAAAATGAAAATCAATGTCTCTGCATAGTTATTAGTTGTCTCTGTAACACATACGAGTCATTGTCTGTCACATCGCATATTTGTCTTTTACTGATCAAATGCGTACACACAATCAGGATTGTCTTAACCAATTACGTGACCCAATGCTAATTACACAAATTAGGCCTTACATTAAGAAAGCGCACAAAAAGTAATAACATTTATTCATACATTATTAGTAAAATTTAATCTATGAACAACCAACATATTACTCACCATGAAACTTAATCCTCATCATACTAGGTAATGAAAAATATAGTCAAGTGGGGAACATGACTAGCATCTAAGGTTTTTCATTTGACATGGATTTTAATAGGTAGTTGTTTGGACTTGAATCATTCATTGGGTTTTTCAAAAGCTTCCTCCTTCATCCATTATTTATTAATACACTTACATACTAAAGTAGTAGTTAATATATATAAATATATTCACTATATTTTTTAAAAGGTCCTAAATTTTGTGGAGGCCTATTCAAAGACTTTGTTTGCATAAGCTCATATAGGAATTTAATCTCCGCAATGTATAAGCTTTTATATGATGAAGTAGCTTTGAATAATAAATGAGAAATTACGCAAAATAGGACTAAAAACGTATGCATATTCCAAAATAATAGGACTATCATGTTTTTATTCCCAAAATAGGACTAATTACTGTCATGTTTTGGCAGTATCAGACTTTAAACATGACAGTATTTTCCAAAATTGGCAGTAATTACTCCTATTTTGGGAATAAAAACATGACAGTCCTATTTTGGAATTTTCAAACTTTTTTACTCCTATTTCGAGAACATTCCCATAATAAATACCCTACTCGGAAGATATATCCATCCACATCTGAGGTACATCTGGCTTCATTCATGAGCTCCCAAGCCATTATTGTAGAATCATCCTTGTATTGCACCCCACTAATGGTGTTATTCCTCGTTAGCACAGCCTGTATAGTACAAAGGAAAATAAAGGCCAAAAAGAATTTTATATTATAATCAAACAACCTATTAGCCAAAAATAAAATTCATTATTCTTTCTTTTTCTATTTTTCCTTAAATAATCTTGTTTTGTGTTGCCTTTATAAGAATAACAATTATGTACGTATTATCATATTTCTTTTATCTAAACAAACTTTAATCATGCAATTGATTTTTTACAACCAAACAAATAATAGCATTAATCAAGCAAATCATTTGCCAACTGACTTACGATACAATCAAGAATAACAATCAAAACCTCTATCTTGGGAATGCACAAATTTAAGGTTACTATGCTAAAATACATAGGGCCTATGTAAGTACCGGGGACAGAGCCCCACTCTCTATCTGTCAAATTGGGATTATAGTCCAATTACATCCTCCCAATATACTGTCCGGTCGGGGTTGGGGGCCCCTCAGTGATGGGGTGTCATCCTTTTTTTTTAAATTTGTAAGAATATTACTTGCAGAGGCCCGGTGAGAACAAATAGCGCCTAAATTAAAAATTAGGGATGTTGGTCAGTTCAATTTATTATGACAAATTTTTATAATGGTGAAACCAAGAACCAAACGGTACTATTTGAATCTCTTTTGGTTGGTATGTTTCAATTTTGATCATTTTTAACATGTTTTAGTCGGCTTTTGTGAACTCAATAAATTTTCAAATACAAAATCATAAATTGAACTACCTAAAGTTGGTCAATTTTGGTCACTTTGTGCTTTAATGGTTTCGGTTTCCACTGAGAAGGTCCTTGATATGGATGAATTTATTAAATCTCTGACCAGAAATTGTAATTGAAGAAGATTACATTATTAAGTCGCTTGGTCAATGAATATGCTTGTTATTCACTTGATCAATGAATATGCTTGTTATTATTAGAAGCAGTAGTCTTAGATTATTAATGCATGCGTCTCATAGTCATAGTTAATAATCTAAGAGTAAGTAATTATATTTATTAAACCACAAAACCGCTTGTGTTAATGATTTCATTAGATGATCAATTATTAATTGGGATAGAAGAGCTGACATGAGATTCTCATTATGACAGTCGAGAATACTCACCCCGGGTTACACATTATTGTTCATAATTGATTTCATTAAATCGACCAAATATTACTAATTAGATCAATAAATGACGTTTGTTCTATATTGACTAATAGTAAAAGTTATTAAGGATCACTTCTCATCATTAAAACTACCCTTGATGAATTGGATGATTTAATCTCCACGGTTAAGTGTTCAATAGGCTAGGAAAGTTAAAGTAGTAATCGTAATCAATGAGCACTTCAGTAAGTGGAGTATAGCAAAACCAACACTTGATTACCTTTGATATTTTAATGCATTCATGTTAGTGTTTTATTTGTCTTCTCAATTATCACAATATTTAAACCCCCCTCACGTTTACGCTCACACACACGTGAAAAGTACTTTTCTTTGTGGATAAGAACTCTACTACGCTATACTACGATATTACTTTTTAGTAGTTAATATATTTTGAGCCACAAGTTGTTGGAAATATGATAATATAAATATTATTTTTTGGGTCACATTATTGTGTCCTAAGATATAGTTGTGTTAAATATGGAGAGGAGGCTGATATAATACATCAAAGAATAACTTACATTTTTGGATTTAAAGTTAGAAGCCATAGCTGTAAAGATTGTAAAGTGATGTATTAAGACAATGAGTCTGAAACGTGGTAGGATTATCCTGGGAGCTAGCTAGTCAGATCCGTCCGAATAGCTATCGGGATACGGGGGCTATCTTTCTTCAAGGCCAGTCCGTTTTACGGACGATCCTGCGATAAATTTTCTCATCTTTTCTCTTGATTCATTTTAATTTATTCTAATTATTATTATTATTATTATTATTTTTGTCCTTGCATTTGGCAGTTTGTCTGGTGATTTGTTTAAACTCGGGATTTTTATCTGGTTAAACTCACATTTTAACATCAATTTAATAACACAAGTGACTTTAGTGTCATCACTATATAGCATACTAAGAAATCATAAGACTAGTAACACTAAAGTCGACTCAATGAAACGATATACCAACTGAAAAGATTTGTAAATTCTAAGCTCAATCAACCGTCTTTCTAGAGACTTCACCACTACTTTCCAAGCTAAGGAAGAAAATGTTTGATTTCCTCTCATCTCATGTATCGGAATATGGAGTTGTTTTTACCTATTTTTGCTCAACAGTTGAACAATCACATGAATATAACTTCACAAGACTAAGTACCTTTGGTGGAGCGTTACCTATCACCACAATCTAGCAATTCCTATAAATTTCCCCTATTCAATGAGCTTTCTCGTTCATTATGACTACGAAAAACCAACTCTTGTGCATTTAAAAATCTAGCACAATCCACACCAGTATTCAAACAAGCGTGATATACCGCACCCAATACTTGTATTCCCGATGACACACTTCTTGAAAGACTTTGCCTTTGATTTTTGAAAATATGT